TGCATAAACACATCCAACTCAATAGCATGTTGTCCAAAACATTCATCTGGCCTCCATGAATTATTACCATCATGATGAACACCTGATTCGAACTGCTTCCACCAGCACTGCACATGGCATCCGAAATGAATCACGCATGGGGAACATCATGACTGATGCTACTCCAGGGACTAGCAAAGCACGGCGTGTTCGGAGCAGTCTAGACTTCCTACAACAACTTGTCAGTGAGCACCTATGAAAAGAATACCTCGAATGGGATGTGTTGTCTGCGTCATAGGATCCTCAGATTGCGCGATGTGCGAGATCTGTGTGCCCTTGCTGAGGTGGTGGCAGCTGCGTCGGAGAGATTTGCGAGGAATGAATTCATGTCAGCATAATGTTAACGGTGCATAATGTTAGAAGGCATTCGTACGCATTATAAACAACCGGGGCAAAATTATGCCGCAATATAAATAACCCAGGCAAGATTAGTGCGCAGGGCTGAGTCTCATAGAGACAAGACAAGTTGCAGAGTATGCTTGCCACCAACTGTTTGCTGCCGAGTAACACAGGGATGTAAGTTACGCTTGACCCTCTGAATGTACCAGATGTTACGGTTTCGGATTTAGGGTACTCAAGTTGGGCAAAAATAAGGATAAAAATCCTAAAACATAAGAAAAAGAAAGGAAAAAGAAGAGAAATTTAGCCGCTAATTAGGGATTGGAAATGAAGTACCACTATTTACAGTTGCGGTTCGTACTTGTGGTTGTTGAGATTCTTTCGAAGTGGAGGTGGTGGCATCCGGTTTGATTTGGAATCATCAGGCTGCAAGCTGGGAGCCATGGGCTCTGCTCCACATCAAGGTCAATGGTCGGGTCACTATAAAATTAGGCCCCTCTGCCCCTCCCATCTTGTGTCAGATGTGAACAGGACGTATCTGATTTCATCCAACTAATCATTTATCATTGGTGAGGAATGAGACGACCATCGGAGTGTGGTAGCACCATCACTGGATGTGAGGCTCGAGCTTATGGCTCCCAGCAAAACTTTACAGAAACTTTACGAAACTCAACAGATGTAGCATCAAAGTAGACTCCAGTGAACTTACGCAGCAGACATTCCTTCAGGCCGAGGCACCGTGATTGACTGAGCACTACTACTTGCGATGTGGGAGGCGTGGATCAGAGATGCGAAGACAACCAAATTCAGCATCATAACACGCTCCCCGGGGACTCTAGTAGACTCAACTTGAACTTGCGTCATCCTGAAGCCTGTTATAAACGACCCTCGAGTTCCTTATCTTCGCATCACTCGATCACGGCCAGCGCATCCCTGCTTCACTGACTTTTCAAAGCAAATATTTTAAATAAACAAAAATTCTTTACAAGCAATTATTCCACTAGCCAGCACGAATTAGAGCTTTTTCGGATGAATTTAGGACAAGTCATGAACTGCAGCAAGAGTTGACCCTGGAGCGTTTACCTTCAATTGCAATTTTCAAAGAATTTTATCCAGCATCATTCACGGAATACTTTCAATGAAGAGACTTGCACACAGCCTTGAGAAATTTACAAAGCTAACCAGTTTCCACCGATGAGATTAGTGAGATAGTATAAATCCCTGACCTACAATTCTCAATTCCTCACAATTGATGGCCATCACCGAGCACGAGAGTGTTATTGAATCTTTGAACCCTGGCTAATGCGAATTAAGTCTTTGGAGATGTGGAGATGTTGATGTTAGTGATATTCCATACGTTGAATCATAAATCAAAGCCTAACTAGGTCAGTTGTCTCCATTGGTAGCATCATTGTTTTGAATCATTTAGTGGCGATGTTTGTTGGTATCCGGGCTCTTTGAATGCTCGTGTTTCATTTGCACAGGGCTTAAAGGCCTAGCTTGTTGTAAAGAGTCGTTGAATTGTTGAAAGGGTTCTTGAGCCTTCGGAATACATCATGAGCCACTGTGGGATGGGCATTCGAAATCAAGGGCACCACCTGGCAGTAATCTGGCGAGGTTATTGGGGCGCATGTATCCGATATCCCACGATTTATGGCCTGATAACGCTGTCCGAACGCTGTTAGTACGCTCCGAGAACGACTAACTTCACTTTGGAGCTTCTATTGCTCCTTGAATTCTGTGGTGCTTTGTGCTTTCACACTTTTGCCTCGGTCCTGACGTTCTGCAATGATCAGAATCTCAGGCAGATCTTGGCGCAACACATGAATATAGTGCGATGCCTCCATATTGGAATTTTTTATTTTGGACACATCATCTACAGGCTGACTTTGTTTTTTCCGCAACGTGATTGCAGGCCCCGGCTAACTACTGAACCAAAAAGCTCTTTGAGTCCACCAGATCCTCACAGTAAAGCTCATCAACCATCCCCCCATCCATTATCCCAGCAACATAGGCAACTCCCACCAGACTGTAAATCTCCTCGCGAGGGCGGACCACAAACGGGACCGGCGCCCCAAACCAGATAGTAACGAGATCTCCTTTCCTCGTCTCTGGCATTCCGATACCCACGAATCCGCTCTCCGTTGTGAAGAAAGCACGACTGGGAAGAATATTCCGCAGCCTCCAGCTATAGTCTTGAATGAATTGATCCATGCCTTCCTGTCCTCTCTCTGCATACTCCGGGGACGCGTCACGCCTCCCTCGGAGAACTTCGTACGTGTCCTCGTAAAATATAGGTGCAGGATTGGTCCCTCCTTTGTCCTTGTTGCAGACCAGAGTGCGCCATAGTGGCTCCTCTTGCTTAAAACTTTGGAAGTAGGGTCGTAAAGTTGTGTCTACTGGCGTTCGTCGTCTAGCCTGATCCGCGAGAGCCTCTACTTGCGGAAGTTGCTGAAGACAGCCCTCAAACGTTCTGTCAAACACCAGCACATCTTCGACGATGTCGAGAAACAATCCCTCAATCTTGAGCGTCTTCATATCTTCCAGAACCTCTCCATTGACACAGTCGAATCCTCCCCCTGATGCGGATGTACCCTGTCTCGGGTGTAGAGCAAGAGGTCCCGGTCGGCCCGCTTCGTATGCCACCTGGGCAGTAAAGTCCGGAACCCAGGAAGGGAAGCCGCTCTCTGAATCGGGGCCTGGAAGAAGCAAGCCGGAGAGGAAATATGGACCCTGACTCTTGTCGAAGACGTGGGCGACCGCTTCGGCAAAGACGACGGGGATGCTCTTACGATAGTCCACGACAATGGCGTCCCTATCCTCTTCGCGCATCATGCCGCGCAGCGCGTACACCCTATCCCGCGGCTCCGTCGCCTGCGAGCTGCGCGAAATGAGCAGCAGCTGCCTCAAACTCTGACCCCCGTGCTCCACCACAACCCTTCGAAGGTCATCAAGGAGGTCGAGCTTCACCTTCATCAACACCTCCACCTCCCCGCCATCAAGACCCTCTCCTCCATGCCTCCTAACAACCTGCTCCTTGAACCCCATCTCAAACTCCGTCCTAGCCAGCACCTTCCATGCTCCCACAAAAGTTTCCCAATCCACCCACCACCTCCCACACCCCACCCGCACCTCTTGACTAGCCAAAGCCAACTCCTGCATGATCCACATGCGCCGAAACCACGGCCTCTCCATGACCCCAAAAAACCACCCGAACAGCTCCTCCATCTTCCGCGCCTCCACCCCCAACCCCTTCCACTGCACCACACCCCTCAACGCCTCAAACGCCTCCTCATCTCTCCCATCCTCCTCCGGCGCTCCCAACCACACCAACACCCTCCTCGCCCCCGCGTAAATCCTCCCCATCATCCGCACCTGCTCGTTCCGCTCCTCGACATCGGCCTGATTGATGCACAGCGCGTCGACCCAGAAACGCCGCTCTTCAGTCCGGGAGCGGAGGTGCAGCAGGGCTGTATTGAGCGCCGAGGTTACGTAAAAGGGGTGGCCGTTTAGGGTGATGGATTGGGGATCGAAAAGGTCGCCCCAGACATAAGAGAGAGCTTCGTAGAGCGGGGAGGGGGAGGAGAGGAGGGAGACCATTGTGGTGTGGCATTGGATGGGGGAGAGGGAATTTTCTGGGGCGCTGGGGCTGGGGTAGAGGGTTAGGAGGCGGATTTCATCGCGGGTGGGGCTGAGGCGGGTTGGGTAGGCGGGTGTGGGTCGTACAGGAAGCATATGGGATTGCGGTGGATGGGAGGTGGGAGGTGATGGGCTGGCTAATTGGGATGTGCGGGGTTTTGGCGGTAGAGAAGGGCTTTGGGTAACCGAGCGTCGCAGTTGGCGACTGCAAGACTGCCGTAACTCCAGAAAAACTCCACATTCCAAGTTCCAGGAGGGCGTTTGAATGGGCCAGGAAAGGGGAAGACCAACTGCTGATCAAGCAAATGCAGAGTACGTACACTTGGACTTCAGGCAAAAAATAAATAGGCTCGAAAGCAGCAGAACAACGGTTTTGAGAAATCTGATGCAGAATCAATGGGAACTACTTTATTCTAACAAATGCTATTCAGCCGTTCCGCTTAGGCTTACAGTTCAATCCTTTCCCCAATCAGCTGTACAGCTTTCCTGTCGTCTTGCTCCTAAAATCATCCCTCTTCGACTTCGACACACCCGCCTCCTTACTACCAAGCACCGGCTTCCTCCAGCTGACGCCCCTCTTCGACAGCGCGCTGCCCGCCTGTCAAAGCTCGTCGCATATGTAACGACAGCGCGCGCCAACAACAAACGCCGTCGTAGTATCCAGCGTATCGCCAGCTCCGTGGTAGTTGATATCGTACGCAACGCCCGCCGTGCCGACCAACACCTCAGCCTCCTCTTCCGTCTTAATGCCCTCAGCGCCGGTAAAGACGCTACCGCACGCGACGCTGGCGTCCAAGAAGAGGTCGTAGTCGGAGCGGGTTCCACCACCGGGACTCCTCCTAGAGTCACACCGGGACTCTTGGGAGAGAGGAGGGAGATCATCCCTCAAAGTACCAACTGCGGGATTAGGCAGGCCCCTTCGCTCTCTCGTACTAGATCGGTTCCCAGAGGGAATACCACCCCTTTTCCAATGCCGGAATTCTGTCTGAGTACTTCCGAAACTTGAGAGGCGGATTTCTCCCTCGTCCTATGTTTAAACGGGTAAATGACCACTCTATCAATATCTATATTTTATGTAAATGACAATAGATGCCTTATTTTCTTCATTTGGATATTCTTACTAAAAATTATGGCCCACAAAAGGTTTGGAACTGTATAGGATTACTGAGCCAGGATTGCCCCTTGGCTACTTGTCCTTCTAAGTCTCGAACTCCTTGCCTCCACCTCCTAATTTAGGTGCTTTTGGGCATTCTAGTACTAGATTCTTATGAGTTACACTTAGCTCCCAATTCCACCTTTGTGGCCACTAATTTCTTCAAGTGGGTGGCATTTCCAATGCCGTGGGTACTCCTTGTGCCTTTGGTATTGCAGATATTTCGTAAAGAAGATTGTGTGATATGAGTGGAATTAACAAATCACTCCACCAACTAAAAACACCCATGTACCATCATCTATAGAATTAATATAGAGCTTTCAATCTATCAATCTTTGCTTTGTCTAGACTTGATAAGTTTTCATGTTATTGTGGCAAGAGACTTTGCTATATGAAATGACAAGTTTTTTGTACAATTAAAAAGTCAATTAAGATTTCTTTACAAAATTTCACACAAGTCTTTCTTAAAAATATGGTTATATAAGTACTCTAAGGTCTTCTTTGAAATTTTTCCATCAATACAAAATCTATCCAAATACTTTGAAATGATTTAATTTTAACACTAAGAAGATCCAAGACCAACACATATAATCAAACTCCTCTTAAAGAACTAAAACCTCAAAGAATGAGTACGTACAAGATATTGGATTTTTAAAATCTTTTAATATTAGACTTCAAACTCCCTTCTAGAGTTGTCACAAATGTATTTTGTATTGTTCTATTACTCTCAAGACTTTGCTCATTCATAGTGTATCTTAACATTTCATTTTTTATAGCACATTTTTATTCTTTATATTACATTAATATTTTTTTTTCCAGACATTATCTAGATACTTTAAAGAAATAGTTGTCCAACTATCAAATCAAACCTCATCCATATAGCCCTTTATCAATTTTAATTATTTTGTCTTTACTAGTCCTAATTTTGCCTTGATATCCAATCCTTACATATCATCAATCTGTAGCTGATATCAAGGAAACATCAAAAATAAGATATTATAGTATAAGGTGTAAGAATGAACCTAAATTAGATTCTAATGAATAATATGTATTATATGAATCTTAGATACAATAGTCAAAAGCAAGATAAGACTCGAATTATTGTGATCCTTGCAAATGCTTTCTCAGAGTTTTTCCACTACAGAGAAGTTGCACCATGATATCCTATTAATTTGCACTAGTAAGTATCATAAGTGCCAACCTTGCATATGCCATGCATGCCCAAGGTCAGCCTCCATCATTTCTTTTTAGCATTTCCTAAAGCTCAAGACTTGATCATCATTCCATCCTTAATAGGTAGCCAATGCTTAGATGTGGACTTCTACTCATGTCTAAGGCCTCACTTGGTATTATTCCTAGCTCACACGGCCTAACTACATTTAACTGTGTCTCTTCACCACCTCTTATGGCTTCCATGGTGATTCCAATGTCACCTAGTCACTATGGTACTGATATAGAGACACCATCCCTTAATATTGGTATCACTTCCTGATCATGGGCCACACAAGTTTTCCAAGTAAGATTGGCCACTCCATCGCCTCACTATGCCATTGTTACGAATATAAAATATAGACTTAAAATCTAGACAAGAAGTTTTAGAAGAACTACAAAGAAGTAGATTAGATCAAATCAGTACAAGAACAACATCAAAGAGATGAGCTAGAGCTTCAAGAGATGAATTAACGAGACTAAAGAATTCTTTAACCTCAACTCCTATATATACTACTGGATAGAAAGCTTCTCGAGTAACTTCAAAGGTTGTAAAAAGATTCTTAAGAAGCTTCCACCTATTTGAAAGTAGCTTCTACCAATTTGAGAAGTTTTTTGAGTAGCTTTAGAAGTTTCTACAATCTTCTATCAAATTCTATAATATTCTAGTGAATATGTCTGTGACATCACTCCCTCCTCTAGCTTTGATGTCTCCAAGAAGCCATTTGAGATGTATGCTTACAAACATAAGAAATCAAAGATTTGGCGCATAGTCTCAACAATATATTCCAGTTGTCATTTTTAAGGCAGATGATTCATGGATCCTTGTAGCCACTGATAATGACCAACACCTTCCACTTGAGACTATGCTTGAACTTTTGTGTGTTCATTCTAGAAACCACCAAAAAATATCGCTTCGCCACTACCTTCATGAGCTAGTTCAACTTTAAAGACAATTAAGAGTGACCTACTATTTGGTATTCTTCGACGTCTTCTTGGCTCTTCTAATTCTTCATCTCGAGGTCAATGTCGTGAGCTACTTAATTGAGATGGCATCACTAGTGTAATATCTACATTTTCACTAGTTATATCTAAATACACCATGAGATTAGATATCTTGATATTATAAGAAAACAAAACACAACAAGTTACTTTTTGATAAAGCTTGGATCCCACTTATACACATTCTTCTAAAGAAGGCTTCATCTTCACATTTTGTTAGTGGCCAACTTTTGGTTTATCAAAATATTTTCGATGGAATTCTTGTACTTTTTGTGGCTCATTTATGTCATAGCCATGCTATTGAATTAAATACTCCAACTTCTCTCGTCTTCGTCACAAATCAAGGACTTTTTCCACAACATATTCCATGTGGTCCTCAATTTCAACACAAAGTGGTAGTGGCTGTATCCGTCCTAGTAAAGTTGATTTGCTATAAGCATCTAGAAGAAAAACATGAAAGACTAGATGTACTTTTTTGGATGTAGGTAGTTTCAATGAATAAGCCACTGGATTGATTTGTTCTTGAATACAGAATGGTCCCAATCTCCTATAATCTAGCTTATTGTAAGATCAAGTGGTCTTGATGTTTTGTCACAAGAGCCAAATCTTATCTCCAATTTGAAAAGCAAGAGAATCCTTTCAAAATTTGTCTATAAAAGCTTTGTAGGACTCTTGAGCTACTTGTAACTGAAGCTTCAAGGTGGTCTAGATTTCCATTAGATGCTTTGCAAGATCTTCAGTTGCTGGATTTTCATCTTTGGATCTTCCCAACAAATTGAGTTTTGGATGATATCCATAGTTCGTAAAGAAAGATGTCTATTGAGTTGAGGCATGGACCAAATTGTTGTAAGAAAACTCTACAAATGGTAGATATGTAGTCCAATTATCTTGTTGATAGTTGATCACACATCATAGATATTGCTGTAAGATTTAGTTGACTCCCTCTACTTGTCCATCGGTTTGAGGATGGAAGGCAGAAGAGAATTTGATATTTACCTTCACATTCGAGACTAATGAATCCACAACTGATGCTCCATAGACTTGTTCTAAAAAATCAGCATCAATTCGCATGATCATGGACGTAGTACAAAGACGAAACCGTTTTGCTTGTAGCAGAGTTATACACTGCTGATCAAATGCTACATCTCCAACCTTAGGTGCTAAATATGATCTCCTGGATTACGCATTCGATAGTCCTTGCTCTCTTCTTAGTAGATATGTGATGATGAAGTCGAATTAAAATAATGACATGTTCCACCGAGTTTGGCAACGATTTAAAACTCGAGCTGTTGTGAAAAATTCCAAATTCTTGTGATCTGTATATACAATCACTAAGTGTGTAGCACCCTCTAATAAATGACGCCATTCTTAAAAAGAATCAACTATCATAAGCAGCTCCTTATCATAAATTTCATAGTTGATTTTTGTTGCTGAAAGCTTCCTTAAGTAGAACGTAATCGGGTGAAGTTTATCATCCTTTCCCATCTATGATAATACAGCTCGTAGTGCAAAGTCAAAAGCATCTGTCTCCAAATAGAATGCCTTTGTGAAGTCCAGATGTATGAAAATGGGAGTTGTCATAAACACCAACTTCAAT